ATGCTCATTCTCCTCATTCTCACGCTCAGTCTCCTCAATCACGTTCGCATTCTCCTCATTCTCATTCGCATTCTCCTCATTCTCATTCGCATTCTCCTCAATCGCATTTACATTCTCCTCAGTCGCACTCACATGCTCATTCTCCTCATTCTCGCGCTCACTCTCCTCAACCACATTCGCATTCTCTTCATTATCATTCGCATTCTCCTCAATCACATTCGCATTCTCTTCAATCGCATTCGCATTCTCCTTCTCGTTCGCCTGCTCATTACCCTGCTCCTGCGTCACAGTTGGTGGAACTGGAGAGATTTCTGGGTGGTCAAGTTGGTAGATGGCCTCATTCACTTCCTCAGAAAACTTGTAGTCAATCGCCGATGCATCCTTCTGCTCCCGTGGTTGCCGCTTACGCCAAGCAGTCGGCCTTCCGGAGATGGGCGGCTTCTTGACCTTTGCCGCCTCTTCCATCTCCTTGTACCTGTCGATGGTGTTGATGACATTCGCAAGAATCTCATGTTTGCTCTGGAGATCAATAGAGGCGGAGGATATCCAGTCACAGACGCTCTTATCGAATTTGGACATCGCTTACTTTTTTTTTTCACCTTCCTCTCCTGGTCTCGCTCGTAACACCTTTGCGCTCTCGCCTTATTTTCACTTCTTGTCGAAGGGAAAATTAAAAACGAAAAAAAACAAACAAACAAACAAACGAACAAACAAACGACGCTCCGTGCAGCTGCACTCGCAGTGGGGTAGGCATACGCACATGCGCACATAAGTAATAGAAAACGTATACCCATCCACGAGGCGAAACCCACAAGAGTTAACAACTGTAGAGGATTGTATTTTTTTTTCTCTTGTGTACCAGAAGAGGGATCTGCGCAAAACCAGAAAGAGGTGAAAACCGGCGTCTTCTCCTCCCCCCACGCTCAACCTCGCATTCGCCTCACATATGTCTTCTTCTTCTATCGGCACTCCAGTTGAAGCAGAGATGGCTTTGACCGCCACCGTCCTCCCCCTCAAAATGGGAGGCTGCACATCGATGCTGGCGTCATGCTCCCACGTGGTTGCCTCACCAGACGTCCTCACAAGAGGGAATAGGCATGCGTACGTTATGTATGCATGTATGCAATTGTACATATAACGTTTCCGGGCCACCGCAACGTTTGTTGGCGCCCAAAATCGATATTCTCACCTCAAAAACCCAGCCTCAAAAGCAAGGAACCCCGAAAAATAGCCCAGCCCTACCATCTCAGTAACCGGATTGCCACTACCGCAATGGCGGCGCGAAGGTGGTTGTTAGAGCGCAGAAAAAGAGAAGAGGTAACGAGAAAAAAAAAACAAGGCACGTCAGTAACACCAATAAAAGTATACCACTGCGAAGGGATGCGGTGCAAGTGCGCAGTCAAAGCAAAAATGGAAGCAAGAAAAAAGTGCCCGCAGCCCCTCCTCGCCAGTGGTATCATTTTATTTCATGCACTCTCGCTCTCGCTCTCGCTCTCTCTATCTCTCTCTTCCATTCTTTTCTCACACTCTTCCTTACCGAAAAGGTTCAAAAAAGTTCCCCGTGAGGCTCACACCATTCGCCTTCTATTAGCCGCCTTACCAGTTCATTCGCCGGAAAACCGAAACTCACGAATAAACGAAAGAACCATGTCTTTTTTTTTTTTGCCTCTTTGAGCCTCATCGAATATATATAGAAATACATGTTGTTGTTGTTGTTTTCGTTTGTCCGCCAATTTCTTCCCTCCCAAATTTTGCTTCCTTTCTTTTTCTTTGTGCTATGCTTATGTGTGGACTTTTTGCTTCTCCTCCTCCTCCTCTTCTAAAGGAGCTCCATGTGCCGCGCATGTACCACCTCCATGACTGCCCTCCGCCAGTGCCTGCTTCCTCGCCTTTCCGGCTCTTCCCCCGCAGCCCGTTCTTCTTCGGGAGTCTCCACCACCGCTGTGAGCGAGGAAGATGCTGAGGATGACGGCGATTTGGTTCAATTCGCACCCGTGAGGGACTTTCGTCCCATCACGGCAAGCGCAGCAGCAGCCAGAGTGCCGGCATCGGCGTTACTCAGGGAGCGTCGCCCGGCCAACCCACCACCAGCTTGCGTTACTGCCCGTTTTCCCGTGCTGCAAAGTAGTGTACGAGGCGGACACAACGGGGGCGTGCGCGTCAGAAGCTGCACGGCCTGATCAAGTGGCAAGAACTCCAAGGGTCCTCGTATTGTTACCACGGGAATTCCTCGACCATCTTTGATTGTTATTGCACCAGGAATATCCTCTGACTTCAAAGCCGACATCACGGCACACAGCGGATCCCCACCCGAGTCTCGGGAAATTGCCGCCTGCCCACAATTCATAAACGCCATTTTAAAAAATCGCTCCGCAATTTCAATCTGAATTTGCCGCTGAAGCGTGGCAAGCAGTCCTTTGGCATTGTGAAACTGTGTAAGAGGAAGGCGACTTAAGGGATTCCAACCCTTGAGATCAAGTAAAGCCACCAGTAGACCTTTTCCAATGTCGGCGAATACCGATTGCGTGTACTTGGGGGATAGTGTCCCTTGAACCACCTCGGGTTCTTCCACCAAAGGGCTTGAAAGGCCTACAACCGAATTCAGCGAGTTCCCAATGACGTGCGAGGCCTCGATGGTGTAGCTATGAATCAATCCGGTCTCTTGGTACAATGTCACACGGCTGGATGTGTCACGGCTCTCCCCAGTTTTCCCTGTGGAGAACATGTTAGCCTCCGAAAAGTTAGAGGATTGAAACTCAAAGTATGGGGTGTTCATGGCCACTAACTTTGCATACAAGAGGCTTTGAAGCAATTCTGGAGCATCCATCGAGTTTCCGTAAAAAACACTCCTCTTTTATTTGCGTGAGCGTGCATGTCGATAAAAAGAGCCAGTCTCCCCTTTACGGAGCTAACAGAACGCAGCATGCTTAGTATAGAATAGGGTGCAGGTTGACGACGCTTGCAAGGATTTCGGTACATACGATTAAGATTAACGCCCTCGGTATCTGCACGGCTATGCCCTCTGGCAACGCCATCCGGATTAATCATTGGGACGAGGAGAAACACAAAACGTGAGCGCAACGCAATGGCGCGGGGATCGGCTTGGCTAAGCAGAAACTCTATGCAACCATGCATCAGGTGACTTGATGGGCACTCACCTGGATGTACACGAGCGGTAAGGACAACAAATTGTTTTCCAGTAAATTGATGGGGTCGTTCGGTATAACCTTTTGCAGAGGAGTACGGAACATCGCCCTTGCCATACAAAGGGCAGTGCTCAATACAGAGACCATTTCTATCGGTGATGGTGAGCAGGTCCACGTTTCGCCCATCCAGTGATTTGCAAAGGATCTCGTGATGAAAATATTTCGATGACGGGAACAACGGGTTTGAACTCTCGTTTGGCTCCTCCTCAAATCCATTTTTTCTTCCCCAAACAGTTTGCTGCCTCCACGCTTTTATATTTTGTTGTAGCGTCGTGTAGGAGTAGGGATGGTTGCTGGCAACGTACGTCGCCGGGCATTGTGGGTGTCCGAGGGGGTAAACAGGCGAGCTGAGAGGGGCATCAATTTCTAGCCGCACTTCAAACGTCAAGTTCATAGCAACGGCACTTTCCTTTTTCTTCTTCCTGACGGTATTCAAGGCCACTTCTATGACATCAGGACCCCCCTCGGAACTACCGTTCCCATCCACGGTTTCGCTCCCGCCATCAAGAGCCATTTCTGTCTCAGAGGCCTTCTTTGACCATGGCTTGATGACAAAGCCGGGGTAACCCGGCGTCGGCGGCATCGTGTCAAGGGCCACGACGGTTGCTTTGCCAGGCAGCCGCGTGTACTGAGGCCTTCCTGGGCACACCGCCACCACCGGCGTCCACCCATACGTAAACATCTTGCTGTGCATCATACCCACAAACGTGAAAGTGATGACGCATCCACGACTTCCCCCACGAATGGCAAAATGAAACCATTGTCGGTTGTTCGTTTGCTTTGACGTATTGCCGCAGTCGGGAGAAGTATACATGTTATATCGATACGCAGCAACACGCTCCACCTGTATCAGGTTGCCACTGTCAAATCGAGAGGAAAACGAAAGTCCATCTTCAGGAAATTCGAACTCACGCTGGTTGTCAGGAGGCGGTGAATACACCCACTCGCATCCGGGCACCCCGGCCCCTCTTTCGTACCCTACATCCATTCCTGCCAGCCTGTCAACGCTCGCAGAACTGGATTTCATTGCACCATTCTCAACCATCCCGCTTTTTCTCGTCGTGTGTCCCTTTCAAATAGATCTGCAAATATCGCCCCCGCCGTTGTAGTACAAATTACTCTAAACTTCCTATTATTATTATTATTACTTTTTTTTTCTGACGTGAAGTGTGCAGGAGGGGGGAGGGGGAGGGGGAAAAATATCGCCCCGCAAGCAAACAAACGATGTTGGGCCACCCTTGTTTGTTAGTATTATTGGGTCAACACGGTATTGCAGAGCGTCGATAGAGATCAAAAAGAGGGGCAAATAAAAAAATATATAAAGCAGCAACAACAACAACAACACAAACAAACCCTATCGGCGATTCGTCGAAAGCAATAAAGAGACGAGAAAGTAAGCCAACTCCCCAACAATTTGAGCGGAAGAGGAAACTCACTGGATAAGGCGCAGGAGGGTAGCGTTAAATCCTTTACGGCTGAGCTTGTTGTATTTCCTTTTCCAAATCTCATCTGTTGTTGTTGTTGTTGTTTTTTCCTTTTGCTGTTGTTGTTGTTGTCTTTCTCCTTTTAGGGGGATGTAGGCCGTTTCTTCCCCCTTTAGTGTTGTTGTCGTTCCCTTTGCTCCTCATTGCCGCTGCTGACTCTCCCTGCAAAGGAGATGCCGGCAAAGCAACAACACAGGCGGTGACTCGTTCCTTGCCCGTAAATGCAGTCGCCCCCCCCCCCCCCCTTTGCCTCCCTCGCCTTGTTGCCTCGCCGCAGGGCGAACTCACTTGCGCCACCCCCAGCCCCACTTCCAGCGCCTCTCCTCCTTCCTGCTGCCGGAGTCGGAGGTCTGCTGCTCTTCCTGCGGCTTCGTGCGGGAAGCGGCCTCTTGGGTGGGGTAATCGACGTAGGTCAGGGCGATATCCACAAATACGGGTTTGCAGGGCACGGTCTGATAGTCTGGAGGGAATTTAATGATGTTCTGGGCGACCGTCACTTGGTCGCCGGCGTCGACAAGGTACTGCGTCGTCCTCTCCTTCGCCTCATCCTCCTCCCGCCCCTCCCCAGCCTTGCCCGCGACCACCCCCGAAGTAACGGTGGTGAGAAGCGACGAGGACGCCAGCTGCAAAGAGAGCCTCTCTACCACCAGTCGGAGCGTCTCCACCCGCGGCGTCGACGGTGTCTCGTCAAGGGTGGCGAGAGAGGCCTTGTAGCAGACTTGCGCCCGCTGCGAGTCCCGCGAGATGCGCCATCCCTCCCCCATGTAGAGCAGCTTTCCGGCGTGGCACAGCGCAGTAAACTCCTCCACTTCTGCACGCCCAGCAACGCCCGGGAGAAGCTCCATTTCGCCCAACGTCTCAAGCGCTGCGTCGTACAGGCGAACAATCTCCAGCGGCGAGGCGTACTGCGACGGTGGTATATCCTTCTTGCTCTTACCACCCACGCCAACAAGGTTGGTGTTCACTTTATTTTTGCCGCCTGCACTGCTGATGCTGCCGCTGCTGCCTCCTCCCGAAAGCGATTTTTCGGTGGCACAGAAGCGACGGACATAAACATCTACCATAAAGAGAGTGCGCTGCAACGTCTCGTAAGACGCCTGGAAGAGCAAGTAGTGTACAAGAAGCTGTAACTCCGTCTTCTGCCTATCATCGGAAAGGGTGCGTAGGTCCTGGCGTGCATGCGCCAAGGCGTCATTGAGACAACCAATACGTCGATCCATCAGGTCCAGTACTTTGTTCTGCTGCCCCACAGGAACGGGACCACCCAACTCCAAGACCTTTGTCTTCAGCGCCTCGACATTGAGAGTTCGCACCTCACGTAATGCGTCCCTCACCTTGATAGAAGCAACGTTTAACTGTCGTCCATTCCATTCGATCGTTGTGGCGGACAGCTGCTCCGTCGTATCCTCTCGGTCCAAGTGAGGTCTGTAGTTGGAAGTATCCTCGCCCAAGCGCAGCATACAATACACCACTCGGTCATCCATCTCATTGGCTTTGGTGAGAAGCAGCATCCACTGCTCAGGTGTGCTGCACTTGCGCAAGGCATAGTACTCTTCGCGCGCCGAAGAAAAGTATTTTTTCGCATCCTCCATTGCACCGTGCGCGGCGGCAGCACGTCCCTTGATTTCCAAGGCATACGCCTTTGCCTCCTGCTTCAGCCGCGGACTTGCCACAGCCTGTGCCACCTCGTGCAGTTTCCACGCCCACTTAACGGATTTATTAAGTCGCTTCCGAAATTGATCGCTCGGCGGAAGCCCACCTGGCGGTTTGTTCTCACCAATGCGCGCCACATCATGGCGCTTTTCCTGCATCTCCTCCGCCGCCGCCCAGCAGCGCTCGGCGCAGAGAAGCAGCAGCTGAAGATGCTCGGGACGCGTGGCGTTCTGCGGCGTGATCTCCTTCTGCTGAAACTTTTTAGAGTCATGGACGAGGCCGAGTTGGTGGCGCAAAGTCGAAAGCCGGTTTGTTGTGTAGCGGCGGTAGCGTGCGTAGTCCTCCGCACGCAGGCCGTGCTGAAGCTGAATTTCCTTCAGGAAGAGTAAGAGGTCAAATTCCATCCTGCAACACCTCTCGACGTTAGTGAAATATCGTGCAATACAAATGTTATACGTGTGTGTGTGTGTGTGTGTGTGTGTGTGTGTGTGTGTGTGTGTGTGT